AAAAGAAAAACAAATGTTTCCTGTTTGCACATCTCCTTAGTCACTATTGGCATGTTGGAGTTGAGCTGAATGTCCTTCATTCTAAATGATCCATGAAGTTTTTTTTAGGCCTTTTTGAGTTCCTTCAGTCCTATGATTGTTTTTTCACTCTCTCAAGAGTTAAGAACATACCAATCATTAACTGATCTTACATTCTTTCAAATGCTAATAAAAAATATAAGCCTGTGTTAATGCCTCTGTTTGAATTAAGATATTTATAATGGAAATAGATTATTGGATGTCCTTACTACTCCTTTACAAAAACATTGTTGTTGTTTTTTAATAGCATTTATTGCTCATGTTTATGTATAACTTGAATGTCTCATAATAGGTGAATAAATGAATATCTGTATGTCCTAGTTTTTACAATAACTACATTTTAGATGATAATAAAATCTTAAATTTCTCGGTGTGGGGATAGGGTCCCAAATGTAAAACTATCAAGAAAACCATCTCCTTTTTGTTTCTCTAAAGATTCACAAACTAAATATTGATCAAGTCATTGTCAGAGCTTGACTCATATCAACTCATATGTTTTTTTTTTTTGTTATATTAATGAAAACACCTAAAATCAAAGATCATATGAAGGGTTTTTGCTTATGTTTGGGATTACTTGGTGTGCATGTCTCTTTATTTAATCTATGATCTGATTATTCGCACCCTATTCCTTTCTTTTACTCCTCTAGAACTCTTTAGTATCTTAGATGTTAGGAGTGGATGTTTTCAATCCTGGAAAACGTAAGGTGGAGCCCCCCACGAATAAGTTTTTTTTTTTTTACCACACTCAAAAAATGTAAGAATCGTTTATGTTTTGTTTACTATGTTCATTAAACTTTCATTACTTTGAGACAAGGTGCCTTATATTAGTGAAAGAGACCTCAACCACCAGGAACAATGTTTCCATTATAGGATTTACATGCCCTTCAAAAATGCTAAGGTAAATGCAATTGTTATGGTGCGTCTATGGGGGATGGCATCAAGAGGTCCAGCGGCGCTGCCGAGCGTGGGAGTGTCCGAGCATCCAAGCGTTCAACGCCGGAGTTCAGAAAATTGCTGGAGCGTCAACCAATCAGAAAAGCTAATACGGGAGTTTTTAAGTGATTTAAGTGATTTAAAGAGCCATTGTGTTTTTAAGACAAGCAAAACTCCAAATAAGAACTATGGTAAAGGGCAGCTGCCAGCCTAGACCCACAGACTGGTCTGCATTTCTATAGCTGCATAAACATGAAAAATGTGTTTCACTTTGTATTTATATGCTGATGAAGGTTCTCAGTCATCCAGGTCATAGTCATTCCGTAAAAATTAAAAAAATATCCACTGGACTTGGTTTCCAAGATTTGAAGACGTTTCGCCACCTCTCCAGGAAGCTTTCTCAATTCAAATGTCTGGATCCGCAGTGAGTTTGAGTCTTATATAGACAATCCCCCCCTAAACGGCAATCCCCCCCCTTTTAACGACCGACCCTCAGAATCATAGACAGGTTTCAGATATTACAGGCTAACGATGGAACCAAACCACCCATTCATCAGTTACCATTTGCATGTTTCCAAGCAATACAAGGCTTTGTCTATATAAGACTCAAACTCACTGCGGATCCAGACATTTGAATTGAGAAAGCTTCCTGGAGAGGTGGCGAAACGTCTTCAAATCTTGGAAACCAAGTCCAGTGGATATTTTTTTAATTTTTACGGAACTTTGTATTTAACACCTTTCTATCAACATCAATATTAAATCAGTGCTTCTCCTGTCAGCGTTTTTTATTTTTTTAAAACACCTACTGGGAGCATCAGGCTTCCTAGAAATACAATTCTGTTGTAAATTGTATATATATATATATATATATATATACATTTTTTTTTTTTTGTTTAAAATGCTTTCTTAAATGTTTACTTTTGTGTTTCATGTTTTCTCAGAACTCATTTGGTCATTAAGCTATTTTCTAGAATTTGTTCTGCAACATGTTTAGTTTTTGTTGCACTCTTAAGTCTTCTTGTCATGAGTCACTGTTTGTGTGGAGGACCCAGACGCAGAGACCAGTAGGCAGAGGTGAATTAAAGTCTGTTTATTCAGGTCCAGAAGCAGGAATCAGAGTCCAACTGAAAATTACAAACGTACCAGAACCAAGAAGACATCAGGGATTAACCAAACCAGAAGCCAGGGAGAGACGAGGAACACAGACAGAAGCTAGAACAGTGAGGGCTTTTAAAGGGGACAGAGACAGAGAGAGAGCTGACGAGGAAATTGGCAGCAGGTGCTTGGCAGGACAGAGAAACAGAGGAAGGGAGGACACAAGAGGGCAGCAGAGGACAACAAATGGATAACAGGAACAATCAGACCAGGACCATGACACTTCTAATTTGTTTTATGTGAGGGATTGTGTTTTATTAAGGTGATATCTGTCATTATCGTAGCGCTGATGACTAGCCTGATTACTCATTTCATTCACCTTCCTAGTTCCGCCTAGTTCTCATCACACTTCATTTGATCCACCTGCTCCAGTGGTGGCCTAGTGGTTAGAGCAGCATGCTTGCACACTGAGAATGTTGCAAGTAGCTGCTTCAATCCCCACAGTGTGCACTCTGGCTCCCTGAGCAAAACCCTTAACCCCTGATTGCTTCTCATGCACTGTACAGTGGCAGCCCACTGCTCACCAAGTGGATGGGATAAGATGCAGAAGGGAATTTCTCTATTGTGAGATCAATGATGTTCAATTATTTTTCAGCCTCTATTTAACCAGCCTTCAACCAGTCATCAGTTCCAGATTATTGGAACCTTTGGTGAAAATTCTCTAGCGTACCTGAGTGTTTCTGATTGTCTGATCATGACCAATTCTGCCTCTGGACCTGAGCCTGCCTATCCCCGTTCTGATCTGTTTGTCTGAGCTGTCCTCGCACTCCTGCTGGATTCTGCCTATGTACCGAACCTGGAAATGTTTCCTGAAACTGTCCTGGATTTCTCTTCAGTACCTCTTTGTATCTCTGCTCTCCTGGCTCTGACTCATGAGCATGTCCTTGACACCGGCTTTGGCTTTGCCCTCTGGATTATCCTGCCTTCCTTCATCAGCTCATTTCTGATCTCCTGCCTATCATCCGACCTCCGGGAATTCAGCGTCTGGGACTCTCTGGCAGCCGCCTGCTGCGTCTCGTTGGCAGCCGATCAGCTGGAACCAACCTCATCTTTTCGAGTCGGACTGAACTTTAAGACCAGGTCAGTGACTCACGTTCATTATCATCCTCCGCCAGATATACGTGATCACTAACCTGTGTTCTCCCCTGCAGAGGTTCCTTCAGAGAACTGCTGTTCTCTGCAGTTCCATCTTAAATAAACATTCTGTTAAACCCACCAGTCTTTCCACCTCAGAGACTACATCCTTAAGTGCTGAGCCTTACAGAGCCACACATGGATACATCTGCGGACAGACAGTGGCGTTCTGGCATAGAAAATTCAATTTCCCAGCTCCAGTCAGGCATCCGGGAGATTCTAACGCACTTACGAATTCGGGCTACTCTCTCCCACATTTCCACCTTCAACACCTTTCGTGTCTATGTCAAAGCCTATAAACTGTCAGACCAGTCTGTCAGGAGCCGCGTCTTTCACTTTCTGAACTGTTAAAGGGTGATACTAATCAGTGTCAGGATTTTCTCACCCAATTTTGAGCTTATAGTTCCATCTTAAATAAACATTTTGTGAAACCCAAAATTCTCTCCGCCACAAAAACTGTGTCCTTTTGATCTGAGCCTGACAATTGTTATTTCCAAACTTCAAGTAGTAACCAGACAAAGGTGTGGGTTAATTAATTTAATTAATTTTGGAAAGCTGAATATAACTCAACATCTGGCCTATTATGTTTTTTTTTCCACATACGGCCAGGGTGGTCTGATTTAAAAATGATTTGTGTGATCTGAAAATCATTAATAATGAAGCAAATGAAGAAATAAAAATGCATATTTTCAGCCCTGAGAAGTGGCTGCTAAAGCACATTGTAATAGCTGAAGAACAAACAAGCAGCAGTAAAAAGAAATCTATCGGTTTATAAGCCAATTTAATTAACATAATTTTATTATTATTATTAAATAAAACTGGACAGTTTTTTGGTTTTCCGTATCGGTACGTCAAGAATTTAGTACAAGTTATTATTATAATAAAAAGTTTCCCCTGCAGCTGATTCCAAAGTAGTAGAATAATAGTAACAGATGCCTTATTTTACCTCATATAAGAGTTGAATATTCTTCAATGCTCAATTGAAGAACATCCCTTGTAACCATTTGTTGGATTGTTTTCCCTTTTTTTTTGGCCAACTATTTTTTTAATCTACTTTAGATTTTAGTCGATGTTAAAAGGACAATGTGCTTAAAATGTTCCTCCTGGTGCAAGTTTACTAATAAATTTACTCAATAAAGGGCAATTCAAATTTTCATTCCAAAATGTAAAATGTTACATCATCAGACAAACTTTTATTTATTGACGTCTACAGTTAATGAATGTAGAATATTATTACTTATGCATAAGGGGGAAAAATAAATACACCCGCTTCCTCTATATTGCTACACACTTTTATGACTAAAGGGGAAAAAATGTTGGTTGTCTCCTATGGTGCTTTAGTGTGTTTTGGTTAATATTTAAAATCAAACTAATTAGACAAATGTGTATATGTATACAAATATATAGCCTTAAGTTATAGTTAGGAATTTGTAAAGTATTAGGAGGATCTGGAAGGGATCTAGAAGCACAGGTTAAGTATAAAAACATAGATTTAAGAAGTCTTTTTCGTTTCTTATAAAAAAAAAAGATTACCCGCTGCATGACTAATTTCCCGGTCCCCTTGATGCAACACACGTGTGTCATATCGGAGCTGACGGAGTTTGTCCTCACATGTGAAAGTCTGGGAGCTTGTGACCTCTCAGCTCACCGCCCTGCGAAGGAGGCGGAGCCTGATGTCTGCACATAAAACTCGCCTCTGGTGGAAACAGGCAGGGATTGAGGGTCGTCTGCCTTGCAACTGGAATCACCCAGCACCAGCCCCCTGATCGTCTCCTGCCTTGACAGCTGCACTATTTGTTTTATTTTATTTTAATCCGATGATAACTGTTAGGCTATAATTTGTACTCTAGCGCGCAAATTCCTCCTTCTAAACCCAATCAGTCATAAGTTTTTTATAAAGATGAGCTGCACCATGAACAGCTGTTTAGTCGCTCTGGCGCTCCTGTTTCTGTGGCGCGTTGAAGAAATGGCAGAAGCCTGCAGCTGCTCCCCTGCGCATCCCCAACAAGCTTTCTGCAACTCAGACGTTGGTAAGTTCATTTTTAAGGTAGTTTATTTTATAAAACTGTTTACAAATTGTTAGAGGAGTTAAAGAGGGTCTGTTCTATTTTAAAAAGTCAGAGGATGAAGTTTTCTTTCTCTCTATGTCCCTCCCTATTTTGTCCTCTAATCATCTGTTTATGTTTCTGAATCTTATAGGTTGATTTATAAACTCAAACCGTCTGAATATGTGTCATATGAATTGTTTACCTCTTTTAATATTTACCACTGGTCTATTTCAAATGGATATTTGGCACAATTTAAAGATGTCATCCTTTTATGGTTTGTTTTCTTTTTCCCAAACATTTTTGCCTTTAACCCTTTAGAGGGCACTCAGTGAAATCTTTTGAAGAACAAAATTTCAGGCCAATAGTGTTATTGGAATCCAGGAAAAGACCTTATTACAATTGTAACATTCAAAAAATATGGATAGTTTGATGGCAAAAATTAATATACCAACTTGCCCGATTATATTAAGAAAAATGACTAAGGAATTCTATAAGAAATTCATGAAAAACACCCTGAAAATGAAAGAAAAACACATTTTATTGTACAACATAACCTTAGAGGCATTAATGCTGATACTGGCATTTACATGTTTTAGTTTATAAACCTAAATATAATTGTTAACTAGGCCTTATTAACTTTACTTTTTAACTTTTCAATAGCTTTTTACCTTTTTTTGACTTTCAACTTATTTTACAGCAGGTAATGTATCATTCAGGGGCTGATCTAATTAGTCAAATGCCAAAATAAGATGTCCAGCCATGTAGCAGCATCGTTGCTGAATGGCTGGATATAGATCTTGTGCTTCTAGACCTCACCAAAGGGCTTGCAAGTGATCAAACACAGTAACTAGCCCTATAAGGGGTTAACAAAACACTGCTGCCTTTAAGAAATACCTTGAGCTATCAGGGACCAGCTTGTGTTGCCAGATGAATTAGTGTTTACTGAACATTTTTCCTCCCACCCTCTGCTTACTCTGTACCCGATTGAGTGTGTGGCATTTATACTGAAGGGAACACAGACTTTTTTTTTTTTTCCTCAGCCATGGCATTCCTCTGCTCTGAAGTTTGGGGAAACCCCGTTTTGTTTTGTTTTTGTATTTTTCCCTAAAGAATTTAAAGCCAACTAAATGCTGGTTTTGTTTTTCTTCCCTCTTCCTTTTTTTCCCCCCATTTAGGTCAGATGGGTTGATCGCATGAATTCATCCACTCTTCCCTTAGATTCTGGCCTAGATTTTCCCACATTAAATTTGTGAATAAGTTAGAATGTGAGAAGAGAATGATGTTGTTCATTCAAATGCCTGCATCATTTTGTGAATGTTTCACAGTGTGAGTAAAATTGATGTTTTGCCCATACTGGATAAAGTTTACTGTGGGAAAACCCAACATCTCTAATTACAGGTCTAAACTAAGCTACCTGTTGACTTTTAGTGAGCCCTCCACCCCCTCCTTTTCTTTCTGAACAGCACAAATCTGGTTTGAAGAATAGCTGGATGCTATAAATGACTACAGCCGGTTATATTTATTTTAAAGTAGATTGAAAAAACAAAAAAATGTTCAAACATTTATATCACTGACCTTGAATTATAGAATGGGCCTGCTTTAAATCTGCTTGGGTTGCAGATAAAGTATCCACCCTTGAACATTTTCCTCCACAAATCTGGGCTTTAGAAGAGTCGCCTAACGAAGTACAGCTTTGAAAGAAAGTTATCAGAATCGTCTGGGGTTTTTTAAGCCATGTAGGGCACATGGCATTGGCTTGATCCAAATTCCTCTTGTTGCTCCTATCCCTTCACTGGTGTTTGGTTGAACAGTAAGAACTCCATCCAGGATAGATAAAGGCCTCTAGCCTTCAGCCTTAGGAACATCATTGCACTGTGGGTATGCAGATGAATGGCACTGGTCAAATTGGAACTACAGCCTCCCAGAACTACAAATAAACAAAAGTTAGATGAATCTAGCAAATGGCTAAAGCTGTGTTAAAACTCGGAATATATTGAGGAATGGAAAATAGCATCTGTCATGTTAAAGACTGTGGGCAACGGTATAGCCAGTATCAGTAGCTGGGGACGTCAGGATGGCCCCTATGCAAACTGCATTGGTGCTAGGAAGCATCCGGCTAGTTCCTTCCTAACTGCCAGCCCTATTGTTATTAGCACCTATTGCGGCGACTGTGGACGCACTCTCATCAAGGCTTAAGTGTTCTTGTGTATTTAGGTTGAGCCAAAGATTGGAAGGTGCTCTAAGATCCAGAGGTTTCTGACAAAACTTCAACAGTCTTGCAAAGTTTGTGGAGAGGGACATAGACCTGGTCATATACAGACTCCAGCTATTCTTTCTAAGTATTGGTGTCTGACACTCACCTTTTTTGTTTCTCTCCATTGACCCAGACAGTGTTTAGGCTCTGACTAAACCAAGGTGCTGAAATTCCCCTGAACCTCCTGAATGATACATAATTGATCAAGTTCTGACATGACTGACACAGACACTGAGTCTTCAGCACCATGGATAGACCCTGACAAATGTACTACTAACTAATGAGTCTGTTGGGGGGGGCGGGGATTTATGCACCTCTCTGGCAAAACTTGTTTTTTGCCCCCCCCTCCACCACCACCACCAATTCTAACAGCATGAATGTTATTGTATAGTAATTCATTCATTAATTTCATATTAAACCTTAACTTACTAAGATGTAGGGAAGGTCTGAGTGTCTGGTGTTTTGTACAACATTATGTAACACCGATTGCTCAACTTCTGGTTTCATATTTCCCCTAATGGAAGATTTCATACAATGGAGAACTGAATATTTGCTTCATTTTTCGGAGGAAGAGTTCATCATTAGTTTAGTGTAAGCTTTTTCCATGTAGAAAGTGGTGAGATTGATTAAAAAAGTAAAACTCTATAAAGCCAAGGCTCCATGTTGGAGGCTTTATTACCAGTTTGCTGTTGGAATGTGTTATTTGTCAAATACAGCAAACTAAATGTGTGGTTCCGTTAAGGCCTGATGCCTGTTTATCTTCTGTGGGGGCTTCCACACGTTACCTGATGCCAATAAACAAAAACCCACTCCCTCACTTTTTGCCTGAGGAAGGAAAATGCTCCCTGACCATACAGTGTCCTCAATGTGCACTTCTTTATTCACATTTGGATATATCTCATCTTTTCTACCTTTTGCATAAAGAAAGTGAATCGTTTAAGCCCTTAAAAGAAGAACTGTTCTTAACTTGCTAAATAATTTTATGCAATACGGTATATCGCAGACTGAGTCAAACTGTGAAGAAAGGAGAGTCACTTTGATAATGTTTTCTGCACTGTAAGGTTTAATCAATTTTCTCAGAAAACTAGTGTGCCTGATAATCCAGCTTGCCTTTATACATGGATGAATACTGGTTGTGCTTGCTGAACCCAAGCTATTTGTTTACCTTAAGATACATGGCACTCTGTTAACATTTTTAGTATAACTTTGGTAAACTATAGAACCATAGCATGACGGCTACGGTAGTCAGAAGGTTGGTGGAGTAAAAAGTAGGACCCCAAAATTTGCACCTGTTAAAAGACAATCTCGCGTCTTGGACTTCAAACTTAAGGCTATCTGTCATAGAAACATAGAAATAGAGCTTATGTGAGGAAATGTATCATTAATGAATCAATGGTACCGGATTATCGGTGGCAAGGAAATGACACGCTCTTATAATCTGATGTGAATGAACCATTCATTGGCAATGCAGCTCATAATCCAGAATGCCTTATAGTACAGAATATACAGTATATTAATCTAAAAATCGATTAAAAAATAAGACGTGTAAGATTCCTTTGCTGAAACTTTTTCAGACTTTTAAAAGTTCCCAATAACATAGCATGTCCCCTGCTAACACAGAAGGGCTTTGGAATAAAAGCTTTTAGTCTGATGGAGGCCATGGGGTGTTTCATTAAACTGCCTTAGTTTGGTAGTTGGTCATAAAGCTGGGTGGCAATCTACCAAGTGACCTTGACCAGATCGGGACCAGATTTAGAGCCAGCCAAGCCAGAACCCTTTCACTTACAGCACAATCATTTGGCTTTTTTCACATTTGGCCCTTAATTTTACGTTATTACCTCATGTTCTACTCACCCATATGAGTCTTGTGTCAGTTGGAGCCGTTCCGAAGATATTCCGTTAGGTTATATCCAAGTAACGTCTTCCTATGAGCAATTGACTCGAAGTCACAAACTAAACTGTTCATAATTTATCATTTATGGTACGCCAGCATTCATAACATGTAGGTGAATCACTGTCCCCCAGACATTCGTGGTTTTATTTTCTTTTATTTATGTTTAAAAAGCAAAGCGGAAGGACAGGAAATCCGTGGCAGAGGGGGCTACGCTCTACTCCTTCTATTCGTTCAGCTAGGTAATCTGAATCGTTCATTTCCATTTCGAGAGCGAGATCATCTGTGGTAGTAGCACTAGACATCTTCCAGGCAGGTGAGTAAAACTAGCAGCAGTTCAGTGGACAGGAAGAATGAACGGTAGCCGGGGGCACGCGTATGATGTCATTCACGTGCTGCTTCGTTTTTTAAAAGATATAAATATAAAAAAAATATAACCGCGGATGTCTGGAGGACAGTGATTCGCCTACATCAGGCATCCCCAAAGTCTGTCCTCGAGGGCCGCTGTCCTGCAGGTTTTAGAGGTTTCTCTGCTTTAGCACAGCTGATTCTGATGATTGCAGTTCAGCAAAAGCCTGTTAATCAGCTATCAATGAAAATCAGCTGTGCTGGAGCAGGGAAACCTCTAAAACCTGCAGGAGAGCGGGCCTCGAGGACCGACTTTGGGGATGCCTGGCCTACATGTTATGAATGCTGGCATACCATAAATGATAAATTATGAACTGTTTACTTTGTGCCTTCAAGTCGATCGCTCATAGGAAGACGTTACTTGGATATATAACAGAATATCTTAAGAACGGCTTCAACTGACACAAGACTCATATGGGTGAGTAGAACATGATGTAATAACGTAAAATCATGGGGCCAAATGTAAAAAAAAAAAAAAAAAAAAAACGGCGTTCCCCTTTAAATGCATGATGCCATTAAATGGTGACAAGGAATAAGCTACGCATGCTGAATATTTTCTCTTTTTTGCTTTCTGAAAAGAACCTTGGCAGATCTGGAGTAACACAGCATCCTGGTTCTTCATGGATTCATCTTCCCTGACTCATATCTGCGTGAAAGTTGCTGAAATCTAGAAAATCAGGAAATTTTGGATTCTCAGAAATGGCCTGCCATCCCCCAAGCAAGCGAAGCGTTCTTATATTTCAAGCCAGTAATCTAAACATGTGCCTAATTTCAGTCAGAATTGAACATACACATCTGACCAAGCTTTATGAAATGCCCCTCAGGACTTAACAGAAAATCAGTGTCTTAGGTGTCATTTTAAAAAAACAAAGAAAAACGGGTACATTAAAACTTTTATTTTCACACAATGATCCAAAAAACCTGAAGAGATGATCGTTCTGAGTCTTAGTGTTTGTCCATCCTATGTGGCTTCTCTGAGGAAAGTAGATGCAATTACATGACATGCATGGTGGGGTGTTTTTTGTTTTCCTCACGTTTTGTTTTAGTCCACTCATTGTTGTTTGACTAGCTGGAAAATTCAACCCTTCCTCCAGTTCCGTTTGTGAGCTTCGTGGCTATCTAAGAGGCTTTGTCAGCCTCTTGTGGTAATCATCACAGCCAAGTAGAGCTTTGTATAAATTGTATACCAGGAAAGGAAACCAAATTGACTCGAGCAAAAAAAATAAAATCACGTGTAATAGGAGTCATGAAATGAAGATTTTGATGTTTTTTATTTAGAATAGTGGTGTGATGGTTTGCATTGTCACTCAGGAACCAGAGTGGAGTTTATTTAAGAATGCATGTTCTTTCCATGTCTGTGTGGGTTTCCTCCCAAACTATCCCCACCCACCCCTTGGGTGCCCAAAATAGTGGCATGGGAAACTGAATGATTATTGACATTGGTTGACAGAATAATAATTCAGTTTCAGCCCACAGGTAGTTTGATCTGGATTTATTCCCCTTAGCATTATTTATTCTTTTTGTTTTCTTTTGCACCTTGCATCTGTCCAACATAACCAGCAGTGGTCTGTTTTTATTCATCACATATGTGCAAAAGATGATTCTCTGCCCCTGCAAATTCTGTAGTCTCTCATCATGGGTTCAAGTAGGTAAATGGTGAGCCACCTTTTCTTAAAGCGATCCCTTAAACGGCTTATTTCCACTATAAACATGGAATATTTTAATGACAATTTTCATGTTGAAAGACAGACTGGCACATAACAGAAGGTCTTACGAGGGGATGCCCTTTGTAACATGTTGACTTTACAACCCGAAGCTCCGTTGTACTATTAAGTAATATACAAAGCTTCCAAATTTGAACAGAACATTTTTTTCTCTCCTCTAAGGTTTCTGTCTTAAACACGTGATCAGGCTTTTTTTAATTTAATGCAGTTCAGAATAAACTACTGCCTAAACTATCCGCTGGATAGTTTAACTGGATTCCCTTCCCATCTAGGAAGCTTTTTCAATTCAAAATGCAAGGAATAGCATTGAGTTCTATGTTTAGGTCAACAAAGTCTTGTTTTTGTTTAAAAAAAACGTGCAAATTGGAACAGATTAACGGGTCCACCCCATCGTTTGGCTTCTTTTGTTAGCCTGCAATGCCCCATACCTGTCACAGTGTCTGAAAAGGGGGTCGTTAAAGGGGATTGTTGGCCTGGCTGAATAGGCGAGGTCCTCCTCTCTCCTGTACTGGGGCTGCGGCTGCGATGATAGCGGGAACGGATTAACTCAATTGCTGCTTTGTAGGTTTTTGAAAGCTGAAACCTGAGTCCCCCCCTCCCCTCTGTTTAAGGTTGGTTTTTCTGTTTCTCAAATTGTAATCTTTTATTTTTATTTACGACTGGGCTATAGACACATAATACCAATATTATTACTTTTTCTACATTTTAACAATAATAGTGTATAGATCTGTATATTATCCATAATTTTGCTCAAGAAAGGATCATCTAAAATCTAAAAGTCTTGTTGTCTAACTTCTGCATGCCTGTCAGTTAGTACTTTCAATCAAATATTGTATTTACTAGATCTTAAACACTATGCAGGCAGACTGTTGGGAACCTTTAATACAGGCTAATTAGCGGGTTAGTGGCATGAGCCAAACTCATGTTATATTCATGAAATATTTTGCTCCCATTTGCTTTGTTCTATTTGGTGGTTGACGAGTAATATTTTTTTACCACCTCAAACTGATAACCATTTGATTTAATTTACGGGAGGTGACGCTATACTTCATAGAGATAACTAATATATTGAAAGCAAGAGAGGCCTAAAGATGTTGCCTTGATGCACATGTAAGGTAACATGTTGGTTTCTGCATTCATACATTTCTTTTAATCAAAACGTTATTTTTATTCTAATTAGATATGTGGAAAAAATTTAGTTTTTCTCAGTTCCAGGCCACTTAATTCTTAAGGTAGGATAAGGTCATACTGCAGCTTTAATGGCAAAAGGATTTAAAAGATTACAATTTCTGGAGCAGTTTCTATACTGTGAAGTTCTCAATGTTTGTTGAGGGAAGCGGCTGATTTAAAAAAGAAAAAGAAAAAAGTTAAGTTGGAATAGGCTTATATCCTGAAAGAGTGAATATTTGATCTTATTTGGTAAAGTGGAAACCAGGTTTTGATCCAAAAAATATATATCTGCAGCTGCCACCTTGAGAAAGCAAAGACCAAACTGGAATTTGAGCGAGAACATCTGGTTAGCATTAACTCTGTCACTGGTTTCCCCCTCTTAAAAATGTAAACTGTAAGCCTTTTCCTTTTGTGGTGGTGTTAGGAATTTACAGTAATACTTTATGCATTATGCAGGTAATCCAGAGGTATTAGGTTCCAGTCTGTGCCTTATTTTGCCATGTGACTTTGAGGTGCTTTTTTCGGAGCTTATGAAGGAAAAGTTGAAGCAACATGCAAAAAATATGTGCTTAATTTGCATGTCAGCACCTCTATTCAGACAGAAAGGCCAGCTGACATAGTTTAGCTTTTTAAATACTGCTGACTGGCTTCTTCCTACCTAGGCTTAAGAACTTAGAAAATATAAAGCCCAAACTGACTGGAGCTGAGGAAACTCTTGTGTGCCTCTCTTTTATGCAGTTGGCAAATGTGAGCTCTCAGATATAAAGGGTTTTGCAAATAACATTTGAATGTTTGTGTTTTTTTGACTTGAGACCTCACAAATTTCACATTTAATTAATCAATCTTCCCATTAACTGTCCAGATTCACAAATAAAATAAAAAAAAATCCCTACAGCATGATTCTTTTGCTGCCAAATTCCTATGATGATGTGTGGTTGTACAGGGATGCTGTGAAGGTTTTCTTGTTTTGAATGAGATCCATGAATCTGGACCACTGTGTTTCTGTGTAGTTATCAGGGCGAAAGTTGTTGGAATGCAGGAGATTGACAGCGGCAATGATGTTTATGGAAATCCCATCAAAAGGATCAGATATGAAGTCAAACAGATCAAGGTATGGGGGAGGGGGGCCCTTATTTTTGTTCTTTAATGACTGCAAATAATCATCATTAATCTTATATATTATTTCTTTGAAATCTTCAGATGTTCAAAGGTCCCACTCAAGATATTGATGCCATCTACACTGCTCCATCCTCAGCGGTGTGTGGAGTGACTCTAGACACTAATGGAAAGAAGGAGTACCTTATCACAGGTAATAATCCATTTTCTTCACAATTATGTATTGTAAGAATTTAAAAACTGTTAAAAATACATCTTTATATCCCTTTTAATAGAATCAAATTGCTTTTCCTACTCCATATAGTATGTTTTTTTTTTTCAATAAATTTCAGGTAAACTGGAGGTGGATGGAACAATGCACATCACCTTGTGTGACTTCATCGAGCAGTGGGAGACCCTGAGCGCCATCCAGAAGAAGAGCCTGATTCAGCGCTATGAAACTGGCTGTGCTTGCACGGTACAAAAGATGTTTCTAAACTCTAATGCAGTGATTCCCACCTGGGGGTATGCATAACCCTAATGGTCTATAAGTGCATTGCAAGGGGTACATGAAAATATTTTATTTCTTAGGGAGTAAAATAAAATAGGGCTGGGATCTGTCTGCTTTGTTAGAACCCAATTGAAAATGTAAACAAGCTTTTATCAACCAAAAACAAAAAATTTTCTTATATGTTTGAGTTCACCAAAACGAGGCAAAGGAACATCCTGGATGTTGAGAGCAGCCTGATATCAGCTGTTTTTCACACTGAGCTATGGGAGCTTATCAAAGTAGCTCAGGTTTCTAGATGGGAGAAAAAAAGTAAAACTAATTAGGTCATTCTGACTATAATTTTTGTTTTATATTTTCTTCCCAATTCATCAAGTTTAAATGTGATTATAAGGGAGTTACTCGGAAGAGCTCCAGTTTTATAAATACAGTTTTATATTTTATTTTGTATCTTACTAACTTCCAGGCTACATATTTCTGTTTTTTTTTGTTTTGTTTTTTTTTTCTTTTGGAATGGAAAGAATGAAATGCCTAACAATTAAATACTCAGGTTAAAATGGTTTTTGTTACATAATCTGTTATTGTACTTTCCACTTTTGGACAATCATCAGTACTTTTGTCTGAGCGGAAGATAAAAATGCTCAAAGGGGAACACAAGTCAAAAAAAGGTTGAGGGCTATAAAGTACAGCCATTTACCATTTCCTTACCTCGATCTTTTCTATAACCTTTAGATCACCCGCTGCACCTCCATCCCCTGCATGATCAGCAGCCCGGCGGAGTGCCTTTGGACAGACTGGGTGATTGAGAAGACTGTAAATGGGGAGCAGGCCAAACACTATGCTTGCATCAAGAGGAGCGACGACTCTTGTGCTTGGTACCGTGGCAGTGCGCCCCCCCGAAAAGATTTCTTGGACATTGAAGACCCATAATCCTTTTCTGTGGAACAGTCGGAAGATGGTTGCAGTTAAGATATTCAAACATGCAAAAAAATGAAATGAGAATAAAAATCATTGTACACATTCTTTTCTTTTTTTTTTTTTTTATTGTGTGGAAGATCTAAGGGGTAAACTATGAAATATTTCAGGTTGCATGTTAAAAAGAACTCGACACCTTTACCCACTTCAACTTTTTGAAGCACTTCCTCATCAACCACTTATTCTCCATCTGAAGTGATCTTTTTAGTTTGTCATTTTATATTTTTTTGTGTGCTTCTCATCCTTAATTTTTTGTTTTTTATTTTATTTTTTGTTGTGTACCGTGACAAATCTTTGATGCAGCATTCATAAACTCGGAAATAAGTCCAAATTGGCTTTGAAATAAATCCTAATTAAATAAGTATTGCTTTGAATACCAGTCTTACATTTTCAGCTCAAGGTTTAACACATTCATTCAAAAATGAGAAAAAGCACACAATTGGACCAGTCTTTTGACAAATGTTCTTTTTTCTGCAAAAAAAAAAAAAAAAAAAAATCATATTAAGCTTTTTCTTCCCCACTTGACTTGGAGGTGTTTTTTGATATTAAATGCATAAATCTTGTGCTGGTTTCACATGAGATTTTGAAAGTAAAAAAATTTTTTACATGCATGTCCATCTTGAATGGTTTTTGTACATTTGGCTATTAAAATGTAAATGCTGTTAATTGGGTGTATAGTTGTCATTTAAGTATTACTACAGGAAGTATGAATTTGTAAAGTTTATCTCTTCAGAAAAGGAAAAAACTGAAAATATGGCTGACTTTGGGGTTACTGTTAAAGAAATCATTTTAGCCATAATTGAACTGACTCTTAAAAAAAACTGTAAACTGCTGCCTCCTAGTGGTAAAACATTTACATACGATGAAGGTGCACGAGGCAAATCATGTGCCAAACATTTTATATTTATATATATATGTGTGTGTGTGTGTGTATGGGAAATGTAGTTAAACTGCAATAAATCCTATTGAACCTAATTTGATCAACCTGATTACATTGGGTTTTCTAAATGGAAAAAAAAATCACTAGGAAGCAATAACATTCCTAGTAAGGGACTAGTACAAATGAATAGTATATTAAAATCAGTGATGCATGGCTTATGGCAGACCACAGTTGCATATAATCAAACCAGATTTCAAATTGCTGTTTTAAGTTAACTGTATTCGGGGTTGTCCTATGATAAGGGCATTCTTATAAGTTAAATTGAAATTAAATGCAGCTACTTTTAGATAAAGCTTTCCATTGGTATAGTAATTTGAGGTTTACCAAAGATGAGACTGAATTGGGCAGAGTATAGTTCAGGATTTAGATAGGAAAAAATGAACAATTTCAATATCTGTCTTTATATTTAGAATAGAATAGAAAATCCATTTGTTGTCCCACAATGGGGACATTCTGGTGTTTACAGCAAAAAAAAAAAATGGTCACATCTTAGAAAAATGTATAAGGATAACATAATAGTGAGGAGTTAAAAGGTAAAACACTACTGTAAAGTGTTTTAACAATGTAAAACTGCATCTGGAGAATAAATAACCAAGATCCAGCTATGGATTTTACAGTAATGGATATTTGAAAATAGCAGCAACATCAGAGATGTGCAAAATGACAGCATGTTATTCAACTGATTAGGGTAGAAACTGTGCAAAATCAGCATGAATGTAACAACTTAAGGTTGTTGGGAACAGTGGTGGTTATAGAGTCTTACTGCTGGGAGGAAGGATCTGCAATAACGTTCCCTGGTGCATTTAGTGGCTAGAATGAGTATGAACGGCAGATATCAATAACCAAATATTAAGTCATTACTATTCAGCCATTTTGTTCACACATTAAATTCTTTCCAATGTGTATATATCCAACAGAAAAGCAGCCTGCTGGCTAGAGAGTTGACATTTGCAGCTCTGAGACTCACCATATAGAGAGCCTTTGAATTTTATATAATTGGGTCTTTTGTTGGCTATGCTTATTTAAAATAAATTAAAAAGGTTTATGTTATGACTCAAGATTGTTTTGTCATAACTAAAAATACAAGAAATACAAACAGGAAATTCAGTTTCACAGTGCACTATAGGTCAGCGTAATTTGTGGTTAGATCAAAACCCTTAAGGTAAAGATTATTATTATCACAGTCTAGTGGTCATATATTATCCTTTCATACTTTCTGCTAGAGAACAGAATTCATCGCTCTATCAAAAACAATGTATTTATCTATTAGTAATTTTCTTTACACATGTCTCTAACTAAACTGTAGCAAATCGTGATCCTGTTTACTGAAGCTCTTTCTATATTATTTTTGTATGTTTCTATTTTAGAACCATAATAGATACATTTGTTTAGTAACATCTCTAAGATTCCGATGCATCTAATGAATAATGCATTTCACATGCGACCTTGCTCTCTGCGGGTAGAAAAAAATGCACATGAAGATGTGCACATAAATGAGAAATGTGATTCACTATTTTTTAAAAGACTAGTTATAATTTGGAAGGCTTTACTATCCATTTTGAGAATTACCAATGATATTTCGGATAATTGGAGATAATAGCTCCCCATAGCTTTTATATGATAACGCGGCTTGCCATTTTTTCCACACGTTTTTGCTCCTTTGTCAGAAGAACTTGTCAAGCATCCACCGCGCCGATTGCGTCAATGGTAAACAGCGAGAGTTGGAAGTCACGTGCGGCTCTCTGCCGAAGCCCAGCGTCACCCGCATCCCTGATTGGAAAACGGGTTCTCTGTGACAGCATTACCTGCGTTTTGATTGGCTTTTGATAGCTGTCACTCAAACTTGACCCCGCCCCCCGTATAATGCAGCATGGGCAAAAAATTCCAGATTCAGTAGCTACAGCTGAGGGAGCAAACTCCTGCTAGGGGGATATTTGGCCGATTAAACAAAAGGTGAGTGAAAAGTACGTGAATTCTTGTATCGCATTTTACACTTTTTTCATCGTAACGCAGGCTGTCAAAGTATAAATATATAAAGGGCTGTCAGCGACTGTTAGCATCTGGATTCCTAACGGCTAACCCACATTGCTGAGAAGACGGGGTTGTCGCCACGTTAAGTTAGCTCGCTGGCTAATTTTGATATTGCAGCTTGTTAGATACCAACACATATACGAGACTGGTTAAAAAATAAAATAAACAGAATAAAACATGTGGAAGTGTGAAGCTCCTACGTTAAACTGCCTACTTAGTTAAAAAGCAGAGGCTGAAAACTGCTGTGACGGACATTTAGCAAGCTAGCATAGAAGCTAATTAGCTGCCCCCGTGGACCAGATGGTTAACACAAGCTGCTCTGCTCTTACCTACTAGTACAGAGGTATTAGTTGAATTATTTAAACGGCTATTTAGGAAAACAAACTAATATCACTTGAATTGGCCATCAACTGTTTAAACCCAGCTTACTGTAGTAGCTTTTCATCTGTTTAAATGTTATAAAGTATGACTTAATCTAATTGCCATACTGTGAGCTCATTATGGCTCAGTTTTTAGTGTAGAAGTATAAACTTTTCTCAAACCAATTAAATACATTTGAAATAATCTAATATATGTGTTGGTAATAAAAAAAAGTACCAGACTATTCTAATTTAAAAATTGCTATTTTTAATTTTGGAGGGAAGTTTATTTAAAGCAGTTCAATAAAGAAATTTAGTCAGCCATAGTTTCAAGATAATAAGGTGTAGAAAATTATATTTTCAGCAGGTATTTGCAAATTAATCTATACTATCATTATCAAGATGATTTAATAAAACTTCAAAAATCTCAATGGATGGGATTATTTTACTGCTTTAATGGCTGCAACCATAAATGTTACAATATTTTCAAAAATTAAATGTGGACATTGTGTTGTTTGGACCTCCTATAGGTAACTAATGTATGCAGGTGTATGTGGGACTCTTTATGCAGTGACACATTTATAGCTTTCTTGATTGATTGGGTTTATTGATCTCACAGTGGAGAAATTTACTCGAACATCAGCTCAAATAGTCAAGAAGAGAAGAAGGAAGTGCCAACAGAAGGAAAAAGGTGCATGGGATATATACAGTATATACGCTAAAAAAATTGAAATCTAGATGTCATTTTTTTTCTTAAAATAAGCGCATTTGTTCTTGAATTGAGAAGGTAAGAGACATTTTGCCAATGGAACAAAACAATTTACATTTAAAATAAGAAAACATAGCTGCATTGTCTTATTTCAAGTGCATTTTATCTAAATATCTTATTTCAAGAGTAAAAATACTCATTCCATTGACAAATTATTTCATTTACCTACTTAAATTAAGGGTAAATACACTTGATTTAAGACATGTTTTGTTTTTATAGTTCTGAGTGTTTCTTTTATAGCAGGATTATTGTACAGGGTTATTACAAAGGGTGTTTACATGGTTATTTATATAGATAGATGGATGGCTGGATGTGCTGCACATTGATAGTTTTATTTATTGATTAGTTTGTGTGCACAAGAGGATTATTCTAAACCTCGAACAGTAAATTTTTGCAAAGTACTTAATCCTTCCCTCCCAAATTTTTTTGGAGCCTTTTTAGTAAAATTTAATAAATATCTATTAAGAAATATTTCTCCAATTAAATGATCCCAAGATAACACATGTAGGTTATGATAGCTGCAACAGGTTGAGATGAATCTAATGGTATATTTTATGTCTCTTAATTCACATTGAAATCTTATTATTATTTATGTTTTTTTTATCTCTATAATTATTTGGAGAAATTGTAGTTATTTCAAAAATGGTTCACCCTTATGTGGTGAGTAGGATAGTTTCTTTTACCTATTAATGAAAACAAATCATACAAATCCTAAAATAAAATCAGCTTAAGGTTTTTTTTCTATTTTATTTAGTAAATAGTTTTAAAAAGTCATAATGACCAAGTGATAAAGATGCAGTCAGAAATGACCCCGAGTCATCTACACGGGAATGTTAACAGGTTAGATTTTATCATTCAGTTGATAAAAGATCAGAATTGGACAATTTTCCTTTGATTTGCTTCAGATTTTGATTATATGCTTTTTTAGGAATTCGCATTTGTTGGATGCAGAGCTGCTACATCCAAAAGCAGCCTGCAGTTGGTTCATTTGCTGATAGTGTTATAATTGGTGCTCATAGAAAGCTACTTATCAGCAAATTGTTGTTGTAACATGGCTGTTTTAATCTCATCCTTCAGTTTTGTATTTTACACATATATTTATTTAAAAATTATTTTATCCAACTGCAAGTTTTTTTTAGATGTTCATAAAATTTGATATTTAAATCAACTGCAATAATGTTGATATGTTTTATGCCCAATCAGGTTGAACTAATAGTCCTCTTACTATCACAGCTGGAAAGTGGGGTTTGTAAAATAGCACCTACTTTTTGTTATTTGTTCTTGAATCTTTCAACACTCTGTACCTGCAGCACACTCTAACTTCTCCATATGAATTTAGGCTAAACTGTCTGCTTGAATCAATAACTGATCATGTAAGTCTGAGTGTTTGTCTTATAAATGTTCAATGCATTTTACTAAGGGTGTTCTCGTTATTCTGATTCAGCTTAAACCCCCATATTATTCTTAAACAATCAGAAAACAATAACAGACATGAGAAACCAGTATTAAAAAGTATTGAGGGGGGAAAAAGCATTATATAGTATATTTATGTATTTGATGTTGGCTG